ATCTTAGTAACCTGGATTTTGGGTGTACGCTGCCTTTAAGAAAAAAATTAAGGATGAAAGTAACATGATCAGCTAGCAGAAGAAACGCAACTTGTCTTGTATATAACCTCCCTGTATATGAAATAAGAAACAGAACAAAGATAACGCATTCCCAGATGAAACATAAGCACATACCTGGCAACAATCAAGAACTGGTCCATATCCCTGTCTGTCAGCGAGTGGTGAGGATGATAAACGAGCACCTCCCTCTCGGTTTCGGTAGGGGGCCGTACTGTTGGTCGCTGTGGATTGTCACTTTGTTCCTCCTCATCGTCGATCATTAGTTCATCGCTAGATACACACATGATAAATAATATGCTTTCATCTATAAAGAACTTACCCATCGCCATTTTCGGCTTTGTCATCGCTTTCCATTCTCTCAGGAACCTCAGCCTGATACTTCTCACCAACACGAATAGCGCCTTTGTCCGCAAGCAAAGTCATTTGGCTGGGATCATATACGAGGGAGTAGAAGAATTTGTCCTGGGTTAAAATTGGTATAGTGAACGAATTCGGCAAAATGGCATGAACAAACTTCTCCATCGTAGCTCGCCACTGTCTCAACTTCACTAAGCAACGTGACCGCGCACTTTCCACGAATTAGAGTGGCTGGAAGGGTTTCTACTTGCCTTGAGAGAAATAGTTCCCTTTGCCTGGAAGAAAATTTACATTACCATCTAATTATTGTTATAATTTTCTGATTATTCTCTGCTTCTCAGTATACTGCAGCATACCATTGGCAATAAAGTTGATTAGGTTGCTCAATGGCTACATTCTACGATGTATAATGGGTAGATTTGATAACTTTCTGGCGTTGTTCCCAATCAACTGAACGAAATTTTTGAACCCAATCCCAAAATGTGTGGATCAGGCGCACGCTTATCCCAGAACAGCCATGTATAAGCGACTAAAGACAGCTAGCGCTTTTGCATTACCAGATTATGGTACATTTACGGCCGAAAGCCAATCACAAACCGAAGCATGTAAGAAAGATAGAATGACGTATTCTATCACCCAATAATGACAGCGATTACCTCATTCGATGCCTCTCGTCGTCACTAAGAGTTTCAACGCCTAATGGTAGACCAGCTATGCCCCAGTCGATGCAGTCATCACTGTCGTCTTTGGGTTCATGCTTATGAGCTACAAAAGAAAATTGCCACATTAAATTAGCAGTATCAATCCATTTGCATACCTGCTTCACTTATCTCGATCTTGGCGTCTGCTCCATTAGCCACCGTATGTCCCGAAGAGCCATACTTATTGTCGGTCTTAGGCTTGTCTACCTCATAATCTGCAAGTGACATACTTTAGCATAAAAACCGCATATCTCTATGAAAGTATTAAAAAAACTTTATGACATGCAAGAAACAACCTCTAAAACAAAATCTGAATGTGCTGAAAAAACGAAAAAATAAAATCAATTATACAGAACTCATCTTTGATTTAAACTCAAAACAAAACTTGAAAAAGTGTTGAATACCAATAAAGTTACAAGGTTGATGAGTATAAAACTTGACTCACATTCGTCGAATCTCCTCTCGGCTTGATCAGCAATCTTCAGCAGTGCAGCGGAGATATCTCGACGCCGGTAAAACAGAGTTACTCTGGCTTCTACTTGACCGGACGGAGTCTGGATATATCAGTATAGATTGTAGCCTCATAAACAATACAAACTGTGCCTACTTTATTCAAATCTTCTATTCGGCGGATCTGATATGGGGTGTTCTCGGGAGTTTCAAAGTAAACATAATCTAAAAAGAGATGTTGAATGAAGCTCAAGGAGTTTTGGTGACAAAAGCAGACGTGAGCCACGGGTCTTTCAATTAACACGTTGACGACCGTGTGCATATGCGCATATGCA